AATCTCAGAGCATTATCTTGATGATACCTTTACAGAATAAATTTTCTTCATATTATTAATAGAACTGGTTTTTATTATGATTTTTGTGTAAATTAAGAGTATTAAGTAAATTATAACTTTATAATGTTGACATTTATCAGCAAGACATGATTTTTCAATTGTAATTTTTAACCTTTCCAAGTTGCAATTGTCAAATGAGAAACTTTTTCTAGATCTTTGTTAATCTTAGTGGAACATAATAAATCCTTTTACTTAAAGAAAAAATATGTAAAGAACTTAAATTGCACGTTTGAAAGAGCAAAAGGAAGGGCCTGAGATTGGGAGTTGGGGAAGGCCTTTCTGTGGAGGTGACATGTGAGCAGAGGAGCCAACTGTGTGCACAGTTGCTGGAGCAGAAGCGGGAGTGGGGATGAGGAATGGAGGCCGTTCCAGGCAGACGACTTAGCCTTGCTAGGTCCTGAGGTAGGAAGTAGCTTGGCACATGTGAAAAACCTAAGGGAGGCTGGTGTGGCCTGAATACTTTCAGCAAGAGGTAAAGTCCCCCTAGGTGAAATCACCTATTGATGATATGTAGCTTTCTAAGCCATGGTCAAGAGTTTGGATTTTACCCTAAGTCCACAGGGAAGCCTTTGAGGGTTTTTATATAGTAAAAATGATGTCGTCTGGTTTTTACTTTTCTTCATGTACCTGCCATGAGGAGAAGAGAGTGGAAGCAGGGAGCCTAGTTAGCTATTGCAGTGCTAGGAGAGAAGTGGTGTCAGCATGGCAGTGGCTGGGGGAATGGACAGAAGGGAAGGATTTGAGAGAGACCCTGCAGGTAGAATCCACAGGGCATGGGTGTGAGTTGGATGGCAAGTTAAGAAAGGGAGATGTCAGAATAAACTCCTTGGTTTCTATCTTGAACAACTAAAGGTGGCATGTATTGAACTAGAGAAGAGATCAGAATTTCCATCTTGAATATATTTCTTAGAGATTCACATGGATTCCAAGTGGAAATCAAATAGGCAATTATAAACTTGAGTTTGGAGCTCAGGAATAAGATTTTAGTTGGAGTTATAAATTTTGGAGTTGTCTACTTTTAGATTGTGCTTAAAGCTACAGGGTGGATGGGAATTGAGTGTGTTTAGTGTGAAGTGGGCCCAGAACAAGAACTCCAGCGTTTTGTTGTTGGATATGCAGGAGTTGGCAAAGGAACCTGAAAAAGACCTGCTAGAAAACCAGGTGGAAAACTGAAGCAGTCACCGGTGTTGAGTGCCTGTTCGAGGTTTGAGGGGAAAAACTCAAACTGTGTTTTTCCTCTGCTCTCGTGCCAACACAGCAACAATCGGCGCAGAATAATTCTGTGACCCCACAATGTGTGGGAATTTCTCCCCGTCAGAAGGACAGCCCTGCGGCGCGTCCCTCCTCTCAGCTGTGGTCGGGGTGTCAAGGGTGTGGAGCACTGTAGGAAGCAGCTGGGGGGTGCTCAGAGCCCCGAGTTTCTGAATCTTGACTGAGATTCTGAAATATTCAGGAGTAACAGAAACCTAAAATAACAGTTCACTTGTATCTTAAAACCAGAAAATAGAATTCATATATCTAAAATATATTGTTGTTTGTGATTTTTAAATTACCGTGCAAGTATGTAAGTGCTGTTTGCGAGCAGTGTTTTACACACACGTGCTGTCTGAGCTCAAGCGGACCCTGCAGCTCCCCCACCCCGCATTTCTCTTTCCAACAGCACACTTGCAACTTCCGACGTCAGCAGGCGCAAGTGGCTGATTCCGGGCGCAGAGTATTCCATTTTCACTGGCCAGCCCCTGGACATCCAGGACAGTAGAGTAGATCACCAGCTGGAGGAAACCCGTGTCCCTGGGTAAGGTGACTTTGCCAGAGATTTTATTTAGGAATGTTATGTTTTCTTAAAGATTTCAATTGCCTTTAAATATTCAGGAAGCCATCTCTTTGGTTCTTTAATGTCTTCATTTTGAGGACCTGATTTTTATTTTACTTTGAAAGGGTAGTACTTTTAGGATATTTTACTTTCGCTCTGCAGAGCTCCCCAGCTGTGCTCGTGGCACAGTACGGGCTTGCAGTGAGGACGTGGTTGATCGTCTCACCTTCTAGATAGCCCAGGCCCCATGAGCAACCTCAGCCATCACTCCAGGGTGCCACGAAAATGTATTATTTTTGTATGTGCTAGGATGTTAAAAGGATTAGAAAGCACTGTATGCAGGTTCAATTTTAATTTATTTGTATTGTAAAGCATACATATTTATTGTGGCATATAGTTGTCAATTCTCATGTTATTCCCCTGACAATCCCAATAAACTGTGTGTCTTAGCTTAGGCTGCTTGACAAATTACCGTAGACTGTGTGGCTTAAAGAACTAACGTTTATTTATCCCGTTCTGGAGGCTAGCAGTGCAAGATCAGTGTGCTGGCATTGGGTGAGGGCCCTCTTGTTATGTCCTGACGTGGCCTTTCCTTGGTGTGTGTACAGAGAGCGCTCGCATCTCTTCTTTCTGCAAGGGCATTAATGCCATCATGGAGGTTTCACCTCATGGCCTCGTGTGACCCTAGTTAACTCCCAACGGCCCTGCCTCCAAATACCATCACATTGAAGATTAGGGCTTCAACATGCGTGTTTGGGGGACACACAACATGCAGTCCCCAGCACTGTATGTCTTACGATTATTATTTAAGGTACCATTCCCCTCCGGAAAAGGATTCTTCACTGGGAAGTTCATCAACAAGCTTATTGATGAAAAACCAAAGAGAGACTTCAGACATACCGATCGTGAAAGCTTTAAAAGAACTTGATGAAGAAAAAATATTTAAAAATTGGGGGACACAAACAGAGAAAGAGGATACCTCAAATAGTGAGTATTTCCTTATTTTAGAGATATCTTCCCTTCCTCCCATTTATATTACCTTCTTTAAAATTAAATTCCTCAGGTAATGAAATTAAAAGTTTATTTTACTGCTGCCTCAGCTCCATAGATAATTGAATCCCCTACTTAATAGCTTATCACAGCTCTGGCATAACATGTAGCTTTCATACAAAGCCAATTGCATCTTAAATTTTGAATATTAAAAAGGCTTATATGGCATTCTTAAGGATATTTGAAAAATTTCTCTGCCAGTTTGTCTTGCACATATCACAAAGTTGTGGTAGATGTTTGGTATTCCTGAGGTGAGGTATAACATTTCTTCTTCTTCCCTTTGTTGGTTACTGAACATCTGTAGATAAGAAATATCTTTAATTCTGTGTTTTTCCACAGTCTAGATCAATAGTGTTTTTCTCTCCACTTACTTTCTATTGTGCTTACTTGTTCAAACCCATCAGTCATGCCATCTTTGGGGTTGCATTTCCTAGTAAATAAATTAGTAACCTGCTTTCTAAAAATAAACTGTTTTGAAAAATCACCTTGAATGCCAGTTGTAAACAGGGAACCAAACAAATTCATTAGAAACTCCATATTTTTCTTCATCAAGCATTTTTTATAATGTGGTACATTTGCAGAGGGTCATTATACCCTAGATGGTGACAAGAGATGCTTTGAGCAGTACCTAGGCTACCTGAGGCCCTTGCATGGTGTCACCATCTATTAATAAGGCGGGTAACTGAAGCTTAGGCTTGTTGTGATTTTTTTTTTCCATTATCTGTTATAGAATTAGTGAATCCTCGGCAAACTGAAACTTCAGTCAATGCAAGTCGTTCCCCAGAGAAATGTGCCCAGCAGAGACAAAAGAGACTTAATTCTGCTTCACAGAGATCATCGTCTTTACCACCTTCAAATCGTAAATCAAGCACTCCAAGTAAGAGTTAAATGTGTATATCTCTTGGTCTCATCCACATTCGAGCTGTGCACACTGTTTGACTGTTTCCTGTTTCTCTTGTACTTTTCTCAGCACCTAGAGTAGAGTACTCTGAGCACAGGATCCCTAAATACGATCTTATTTAATAAGTAAAATTGCCTGATCACACAGATATTACCAATATAACTGAGAAAAAAATCTCGGTTTATTAAAGTGAGATTTTTTATTGTGTCCAGTAAATTGTTTGCAATTAATGTTCAAAGTTTTTGAGATAGTAGACTAAGTTAACGTTAATTCAGACTAGTCCGAAAGGAGAAGGTGCTTCTGATGTATTTAACCTCAAGGACTCAGCATTAATCACCTTTTTTATTTTTTTCCTCCCCATGATTAATATCTATAAACAGGATAGTCACTTTTTTGTTTTTTGCCAATTACAGTTTTGGTTCTAAAGTTTAAGCATTGAATTTCTGTGTTCCAAATTTCCATTTTTCGCACCAGCTGAGGAGATTCTGACACTGGGTTATAGGTATGTTCACTATTGCACTGGCGTTTCCATCTTATTTCCAGTCGACTTCTAAAATCCTGAAAAACCAGTTTTGAGTCAGAGTGCTGAAACTACAGTCTGATATACTGAAATGTTAACAGTAGTTACCTCTAGATGTTAGGATTATGAATTATTTTTTATTTTATATACTTATCTCTCAAAGTTTTATAATAAAATTGTATTTATTCCTTTCAAAATTAGAAAAAAGTACTCTACTGAAAAAGAAACTATTTCTGCCAGTATAACACATATAGAAGAAAAAGAATATTTCCTCTTTGTTTTCTTCTATAGCAAAGAGAGAGATTATGTTAACACCAGTGACTGTGGCTTATAGTCCAAAGCGATCCCCTAAAGAAAATTTGTCTCCAGGATTTAGTCATCTACTTAGCAAAAATGAAAACAGTCCAATTCGGTAAGTTCTTTAAAATTGTAGAATGAACTATATAAACTTTAAAATGTCGACTTATGCCTCTGGCTATCACTAATTTTTTAGTTGTCAATGGGAACTCTGTGGATTTAAGTCATTTAAATATCTAAATGAATGTCATACTACAAATTAAGTGCTACAATATATGAAAACAGTTTTTAACTATGTAAACTTGGTACTACTACATTTTAAATACCACCTCAGCACCCTGTCCAGCTTTTGGATGTAGAATGTTAGTACTTTGTTTTCCTGGAGAGGTTTATGATACAGGGAGACTTTTGAGCCATTGGTATTCATACAAGAAAGCGGGCTGTACGGTCTGGCACTAAATGCGTGTTTACCAGTGCTCTTGAGGAAATCGTCCTCTCAAATGTGGGCAGCAGCGTGTGCTGTGGTGGGAAGGATGTTGCTTCCTGGCTCTAGACCCAACTCTGTCAGGCTCTCGGGGAGATCACTTAAGCACATTGAACCTCAGTTTCCTTTTCTATAAAACGGGGATAATAATACCTGCCCTGCTTATTTTATAAGGTGGTTATAAAGATCAAATGAGATAATGTATGGGTAAGTGCTTTAAGTCTTTAGTATGTAAATACAATTTTGTATTAGATAATAGAAATTAAATTTCAGTTTTAGAAAATTATATAACCAACTTTCTTTAAAGAAAATATGTAAATGTGTGAGTTAACTGGATGCCAGCTCATCTTTCTAGTGGAGATAGGGAAAAATCAGTTAACGTTTTTTTTTTCTCACAAGTAACTTGCTTCATTCAATAGATTTGATATACTTTTGGATGATTTAGATACTGTTCCTGTGTCTACATTACAACGTGCCAATCCAAGAAAACAACTCCAGTTTCTTCCTCTAGATGACTCGGAAGGTATCTTTTCCTAAAAAATTATTAGTTATGGTTTTAGTCATTTTTTGAGATTCTGGTATCTCTCAAGGTTCTAAATGTAATCTTATAATATCCTGCATTTAAATATTTTCCTACTCAAGAGCCTCCAAAAATAAGCATTCACAATGCTTCATATTGTTACATCAATGTTGTTATCCTCATTGAAAAGTTGGGAAACTGAGGTACAGGAAATGTTAATGTTTAATTACCAGGACCATACTATATGTTCAGTTATTTTTTACTTTTATACTCTACAATTTATATGCAGCTTAGGTTTGGGTAATTTTTTTTCTCATATTTTAAGTTTGGAGTAAAGTTATAAGACAATGTATATGAAATTACTTGGGTAGGCCCTCAAAATGTGAACTGTTTACTATTGGTGTATGTCCACTTAATGTTATGTGTTGTTTAGTTTTTAAACTTGTTTTTCGTTAAGTTTACTTAAAGTTCATTTATGTTTACATAAAGTTTGCTTAAGTTCATTTAAGGAAGTTGTGAGGATTGTCAAACTGTGGGCAAAGCTTTTAGAATTTTTTGGAGAAAAAGCACCAAGTGAATATGTTTGATTATTGTATCTCTTTCCATTGCTTGTTTGGGCTATGTAGCAGCCACTTCCAGGAAGTGAAGTTGGGCAACATATTTAATATGTATGCGATCTATTGGAAAAGTTGATAAGAAATATAAGAAGTTTCTTTCCTCTCTGACAGAAAAAAAATATTCAGAAAAAGCTACCGACAACCATGTTAATCATAGCTCTTGCCCCGAACCGTTGCCAAATGAGATGAAGAAAGTATCTGTGAGACCAGCCTGGGAGAAGAATAAATCAGTTAGCTATGAACAATGTAAGCCTGTTTCAGTAACACCACAGGGTAATGATTTTGAATATACAGCAAAAATTAGGACCTTAGCTGAAACGGAACGATTTTTTGATGAACTTACAAAAGAAAAGGACCAGGTAAAAACAAAAATATAAAAAAACCCCTTTTTTCCTGAACTTAAAGTTTATGTCTAAGGAATAGTCAGAAGGGAATTACTGAGTCGAACCTGCCTCAGGAAATTACGATGGGGTACCATACCAAACTGCCCTAGAAAGGTATCTGAGCCATGCAGTCGTTACTAATTGAGAGGGAAATTAAGAGAAAATGGACAAGAAAATACTAGGCTGAAATCTTTTCTTTCATTCTGTGTGATAAACCTCCCTGCCAGTAATTAGAATTCTTCTAATTTCATTTAAACATTTTTTTTGTGTTAACAGATTGAGGCAGCTCTAAGCCGGATGCCTTCTCCTGGAGGACGAATCACTTTACAGACAAGATTAAATCAGGTGCAACGTCTCAGCTTGACTTTGCTTTAGAGGCTTGGTGTCAGTCAGCACTCCATTTATCTAAAAGGAGTTTTTAAACTCGTGGCACAATGAGAATTAGACACATTGAAGCAGCAGTCAAAATGTTTAGCCTGTATAGGAAGTGTTTGGTGATTATAGCAATTTTATAACTACAAGCTAGCTTTCAGGACTAAAAACTAGTTTTACCTTTAGACTTAAAGAAAAAGGCATTCATGCCATTATATTTTCAGGAAACTAACTTGGGAGCAAATGGCAATACGCTTTTTAGCAGATTTTACATTAAGTTAATGCTCCTACATTATGTCTCTTTTTGTGTGATTCCTCCCCCAAAATCTGTCATTTATTTCTGAAGCCTTTTCACTGAGTAAACATGCGAAACAGTTGCACTCTGCAGCTGAAATAGCTGTGGTTTTAAAGAGAGATGTGATTCCATTATCGAGCAGGAGGTGGTGCAGGTGATGTGGCCCTTATGCATTTCTTTTAGTTGCTTTTCGACGAGAATTAAAATGAATCAAACCGTGGGGCATTTTGAATCTTCTAGTAACATTTTGAACATAACAGCAAGTATGAATCTCTTATATAACTGCATGTTTTGGCTTTGGAGTGCCTTCAGTAAAAGTTCATTTTCAGGGTGATCTGTGGAACCAGAAAGAAAGATGCAAGCAAACAGCGAAGGTCTTTTCCTAGGGCCTGTACCCGTAACTCCTCTTTTTCTCTGACTTTGCCTTTTTATCGTTTTTGTCCTGAAAATTTTTAGTCAATAATTTATAAGACTCTTTTAACACATGAAATTCTTCTTAAAATAGTTTACCAGAAAAGCAGAAGGAAAACTGATACTCTGATTCTAAATCAATCTGAAATATTTGTATTTTATTTATTTATTTATTTTGATATAGGGTCTCACTTTGTTGCCTGGGCTAGAAGGCAGTGGCACAGTCATAGCTCACTGCAACTCCTGGGCTCAAACGATCCACCTGTCTCAGCCTTCCCAGTAGCTGGGATTATGGATGTGTGCCACCATGCCTGGCTAATTTCTCTGTTTTGTAGAGGCAGGGTCTCTCTCTGTTGCCTGGGCTGCAGTGCAGTGCTGTTATCATAGGTCCCTGCAACTTCCAGCTCCTGGCCTCAAGCAATCCTCCCGCCTCAGCCTCCCAAAGTACTAGGATTACAGGCTTGAACCACTGTGCCCAGCCTACTTAACATATTTTTATACAATGAATAAATTCTTTCTGGCTCTTAATACTTAAAGGGTATTCTGTTGATGTATGTCAAAGCTGTTTCAATCCAATAAGAAGATAAATGGCAACAATGAGGGGCTGAAGCCAGTCATATGTGATTCATAAGTGACAAAGTAAAATTGGGCAGAAAAACCAGTTTTCAGAATGCAGAAAAGCTTATTCTCATACACTACAGGTGGAAGTAGAAATTGTCAGACTTTCTGGAGTACAGCTTGATACTGATATATGCAAAGTTAAGAAATTTATTGTAGCCTTATTTATGATACTTAAAATTAGCAACCTAAGTTTTTTACTAGAAGATTCTTGGTTAATTAGGTTATATCTGATAGAATATTGTACATTAATTTGAAAGGATGTTGTAGAAGGATATTTCATAACATGAAAAGTTCAATTGAAAAAATAGTTTGGAATAGTTTGATTGTGTTTTTTCTTTTTAAAAATGATATGCATATATGTGTGCATAAAAAATAGCAAAGAGGAACAGAGATTATTTCTTTTTGCTCATCTGTTGTCTACATATTCTAGATTCTAAATATTCT